CTTCCTCCTGTTTTTGATATTTGGACATTTCCATCCTCATTAACACCTTCATAAGACTGAAAGAGCAGGGAAGGGAGAAGAGGTGCTCACTGAGGAAGGGGATGCAACTAATAACTAAATTAAGGTACATTGGTTACCTGTGGATTTTATGCATCTATCCTTCTATTCCATCCATCAATATTCTGAAGTAGCAATTCACCAGACTACGTATATATTAGGCATTTAATAAATGCTTTTGAATCTTTGAGTTTGATGAACACTTCTCATATTTTTGGAATTCCTTGGATCTTTTGCATGAGCACTACAAAGATACTTCCAGTTATAAATTTTATTAATTAATATGCAGTGCTTTTTTTTTACTACACAAATTTGTTGGGCAACTATTTTATTATATCGGCATAGTCTATAGGCATTAAGTATTTGAAGCAACCTCAAAGACCGGCTAGGAAAGAAATCACCAGTGTGATATGTGGAGTAAATGAGAACCAGCATAATATAGTGCTTCCACTATATCTCTGAAATGAAAGCCACACAGGACATCTGCATTTGATTTCCAAGCGCTGTCTTAATTTGCTATATGGTCTTGAGCAAGTCACTTAACCCCGACAGATAAGTTTCCTTATCTGAAAAATGATGCGGTTGGACTAGATAAATCTTGAACATTCCTCCCAGCTCTAAAACTCCATCACCTACAATCTATACTAAAATCCCAGCATAAACAATTAACACTGGGCTGCAAAAATCTCAATAGAAGAAAAGGGGATGTTGGAATAGAAGGAAAAAATGATCTGCAGTGGAGGTAATATATTTGAATAATAATTAATGGTGTAGTGGATAGAATGTTGGCCTTGGAGTGAGGAAAACTACCTCTATTTGGCACATATTCATAACAGTATTGACATAGCACTCAAAGGTTTGTTAAGCACTTTACAAATATTATCTCATTATTTTCTCATTTTGTCCCACAGTAACTCTGGGATGTAGGTGCTATTATTGTTTCTACCTTACAGATGAGAAAGCTGATGCAGATGGAAGTTAAGTCATTTGTGTAGGGTCACACAGCTGTAAGATTTGAACTCAGGTCTTCCTGACTCCAGGTTCAGCACTCTAGTCGCTACCCCCATCTAGCTGCTGCATATTGATTATATGACTCTTCAACAAATCATTTAATGCTTCAGTGACCCAGGCAAAAGTCAGTATGACTATAAGAAAGTCTACAAAACAGGCAGCTAGGTGGTGCAGTGAATGGAGGGCCAGGCCTGGAGTCAGGCCTGAGTTCAAATCTGGCCTCACATACTTACTAGCTGTGTGACCCTGGACAAGTCACTTAACCCTGTTTGCCTCAGGTTCCTCATCTGTAAAATGAACTGGAGAAGGAAATGACAAACTACTCCATTATCTTTGCCAAGAAGAGTTGGACACAACTGAACAACAAACAACAAAAAACATAAAACAATGACCGCCACATAGTAGGTGAGTGGCACATAGTAAATGCTTGGTGATTGGCTGATAAATGCTTGTTGATTCGATCACTATAAATTTTCAGAGGAAGTGCTAAACTGGATAAATAAAAGAAATGTTCACATTGGGAATTCTCTACACTAGTGAAATCACAGGTCTAGACCAAAACAATACCACAATAATAAATGGAAAAATTCCCTCCCTCACCTGTCAGAGAATTACAGTACTTTAAGCTAGTTGAAATCTGAAAAGAAGCAAGGAATTCCAACACTAAATTAAATGAGGCAGCCCAGCATATGACAGGGAGAAAGGTTTAAATTACCTGAAAATACCAAACATACCTGAATTCACTGTAACTTTTCAAGGAGATTTGCAATTTAAAGAAATAATTCAATGAAGGAAATGTTACCAGGAAAAGACTAATAGGTGGCAGCATATAAGAAGGATACCATAGGCAAGTCTGTAACAGCTGTATACTTGTAGGGGGAAGTTTGGTGGCACAGTAGACAGCGTGCAGGGCCTGGAGTCAGAAAGACCCATCTTCCCGAGTTCAAGTCTGGCCTCAGACACTTGCCAGCTGGGTGACCCTGGGCAAGTCACCGAACCCTGTTTGCCTCAGTTTCCTCAGCTGTAAAATGAGCTGGAGGAGGAGACGGCAAACCACGCCAGTAACTTTGCCAAGAAAACCCCAAATGAGGTCATGAAGAGTTGGACACAACTGAACAATGAGATGTTTATAGGACTTCATCATGTCTTGGGCTGAGTGTACATGATATCTCATGTTAAAGTTAACAAATACATTTTAAACTCTAGGAATTTTGGCTTAAAAATGTTAAACAATAGGATATTTATAATAATAATAACATTAGCTAAAATGTAGATAACTTTTAAAGTTAAAAATGCTTTACATTTATTATCTCATTCAGAACTTTTATCTCTGGAAAATTTAACTTTCCAACTTCCATACAAAGGCTTGTATTATGTATCAGTTTGGATTTTTTTTTAAGGATTTTTTTTGGAGGGGGTAGTTTAAATAAGTTCAAAAGAAAATTTCTAAAATGGCAGATAATGTAAGGTGGGATAGAAGGTTCTAGAAGAGGAAATGACAAAGAATGGTAGAATTATTTCAGAAAGAAAAGCTTTAAGATAATAGACTAATGTAATATTGTATATATGAACAAATAATTCAGTTTCGCAACACAAAGAAACCAGGAACACTTTCAACAAAACAAGGAACACTAAAAGTATGAAAAGGAAGTGATTTAGCTTCAAGGTACATTTCCTCACTGCAGTATACAGCACACTAATATGGAATTATGACTTGGATTACTGTCATCAGAAGAATGCTACATTCTGGCAAAGATCTGAGACTGTGGTGGGTAAAAACCACATGTCCTACATTGTGGCAAGTGCTAGAAAGTTACTGTCCTGGAGTTACGGGATGGGAACTACACTGGTTATGGGATGCAGAAAGTACTGCACAATTCCAAGTACTTGGTGGAAATTTTGGGTTGCCTTTTTTTTTGAAACGTCTAGAATAAAATGAGAAAGAGGACCCTAACTAGGGTGGCAGCCCTGTGCTTACACTGTGATTTCCCATATCTATGTACAAGTACATTCTTAAATCAAACAAAATAATTTTATAACAAAACATAATGGATGCTTTTCCAGTGATTTTGCTACTTCCATATTGGTATATCTGGAATTTTCCAGGTCTGGATCAATAACTTAGGGAAACTATCAATAGCCTACAGTCCAAAGGCAATAAGCAGCACTAATCCACTGATTTTGTTAATCCTCTGCAACTGAGATTTAATTTTTTTTCACTTCTCCATGTCTCCGATTTAAGTTTTTTATTCATGTCTCTTAAGCAAAACCACAGTTGAATTTCTTTAGACCTCTACTGGGCATATATCCCCAAAGAGATAAAAGAAAGAAAATAAGGTTCTCCATGTACCAAAAATATTTATAGTAGCTGTTTTCGAACTGGAAACTAAGAGAGTGCTTATCAAGTGAGGAATAACTGAACAAACTGTGGTACCTATAAGAAATTATGAAGAGAATAATTCTGGAAAAATAAAAGATGACTTGTATGAGGTGAGGCAGAGTGAAGTGAGCAGAATCTGGAGAACAATGTATACTACAACAATACTGTAAAAATGAAGAATTATGAAAGACCTAATTTCTCTGATCAAGGTAATGATCAACTCTGATTCCAGAGGAACAATAATGAAGAATGATATCCATGCCCTGACAGAGAGGTGATGGACTCAAGATGAATTAGATATACATTTTGGACACAGTGTGGGAATTCATTTTCTTTGATTCTGTATATTTGTTACAAAAGTTTTGTTTTCTTTTTTCTTTTTCTTTTTCAAATGAGAGAGGGTAGGAGGGAAAGAAAATGTTTTTTAATTGAAAAACTTACTAGGCACAATTTAACTACAAAAATTTATCAGATAAAAAATGCTGTCCACCTCCAGAGAAAGAACTGATGTTGTCTGAAACGCATGCTATTTTTCACTTTCTTTCTTTTGTCTTTACATCTTTCTTTCCTCCTTCCTTTTTTCTTCCTTCTTTTCTTTCTTTTCTTCCTTTTCCTTCTTTCCTTCCTCCCTCCCTCCCTCCCTTCCTTCCTTCCTTCCTTCCTTCCTTCCTTCCTCCCTCCCTCCCTCCCTCCCTCCTTCCCTCCTTCCTTCCTTCCTTCCTTCCTTCCCTCCTTCCTTCCTTCCTTCCTTCCTTTCTTCCTTCCTTCCTTCCTTCCTTCCTTCCTTCCTTCCTTCCTTCCTTCCTTCCTTCCTTCCTTCCTTCCTTCCTTCCTTCTTCTCTTTCTTTCTTCAAGTCTTCTCACACAAAATGACTAACATGGAAATGTTTTACTTGATTGCACTTGTATGACCTATATCAGATTGCTTATCATCTCAGGGCGGGAAGGCAGGAGGGAGAGACAGAATTTGGAAATCAAAATTTAAAAAAAACCAACAAATGTTAAAATTTTATCATGTTATTGGGGAAAGAAAGAAAATATTTTAAAAATGTATCAGAGCAATTTTGATATGCTAATGGATAAAACCATGAATGCAATCACAGCAAGCTTTCTGCTCTGTGCAGAGGTTCTCACTTGACTGGCTGATGGCCTGTATAAAGAATCACCTTGAGTTTTCATTGTTATTTCTCTCCATCTTCTCCTCCCCATCTTTTAGTTCCCCTCCAATTCCCCTCTCCTCTTAGCTGAAATTCTTACTATTTTCAACTTTCCAATGTTCAGTGAAGTGATTGATTACATCCAGTGCTATTTGGAGAAAAGACAGTACGTAAAGTTCGTAAATGAATTAAATGTAGCCTTGCTGTTTTGTTGATTTGATGACTATAAATTTGCAGAGGAACTGCTAAACTCTCCAAAATACACTCTTTTTCTTGGGCCATGTCATCAAACCTCTCTAATTTTCATTATGCCATTAAGACGTTTATGTTCCTTCAGAACATTCACTTATGCATTCCATGTATTCTAGGATATGTGGACTAAAAAGAGTACTTACTTTTGTTCAACATAAAGAGGGTCAAAGAACTCGGTTGTGATTTTGTTTGCATATAGGGAGCAGCCCGTCATGGAGCATAGTCCTAAAACATATCAGAATGAAGATACTAACATTAGAGTGAGCAGGCTAATTTTACTACATGCATGGATTGGGTGGAAATTTACTATTAACCTGAAAGAATGAATGTAATTCCAGCCAAACAAGCAATTTTAGCTTTGGCTTTATCTGAGCCTCCAACTTTTGTACACTTCATTCCAAACAGTGCAAATATGGAAGCAAAAAATCCCAAACTGACAGCAGCAATCATCAGTCCTCTGCATGCTTGGATATAACCTGGAATTACAATATGACATTTTTTTACATTACAACAATATATGCTATTTTGGAGAGGTAAATCCTCCCCTTGCAATGTCTCATTTTGAGTCATTCTATTCTGTCTTCTGGAAGAATAACTGCAATAGTTAAAATTCCATCATTTTGGTTTTATGGTGAGAAAGCAGAAACTAGAAATACCCTTTTCAATACCACACCCTGAAACTCTTCCTCAAACTTATTCAATTAAGTGATGTCTCTGGCACATGAAGGTTTTAACTATGGGGTTTACGCCCCATAGAGAACTAATTGTAGTAAAACTTCTTTAATGAAGACTAGTTGGAAGACCATTTGACTCTGACAAGACAAAAATATTATTTGATTACTTCCACACAGGCCCAGTAACTTGAATTAGTCTAAGGTTTTTGTTTACTAGGAGTCCTTAGGGAATCTGTTTTAAATAATAGATAAGATTAGCCTGTAATTAGTTTATCAATAGTTCACATTATCATAGGAGTTAGTGCTTTAAGGGACCAAAAACCTATGTAGTCTAGCCCTGATTCTTTTATAAATGAAGAAACTGACATCTACAAAGATTAGGTGACTTGTCCAAGGCAGTTGACACATGAATGGGTATTTCAAAATGCTTAAGAGTAGCTTGAAAGGTTCTCTTAATAAGCAGTTCACTTACTTCAGCTAAAATCTTGCTTACAGTATTAATTTGTTTTGTAGGACAAAAGCAATACCCATGCAATGTCCAAATTATCATAAAATTCTAATTAGTAGTATGTTAATTAACAAAGTTTTATTGTTCAGTGTTATTGACTCTGCAACAATGAATAGTGTCTTACATGTAGTAGACACTCAAATATTTGTTAAATGAATTAGTGAATGAACACCCATGAATAAAGTCTATCAGTGGAGTAATATATTATATTTATTTTCATTTTAATTATTCCAAGAACCACCAAATCTTGAATTTTCTCTCCTTTCTGATAGAGGCTAGCATGAAATTCAGGAATCAGGAATTTTTCTATTGGGAAAATTATGGACTGAAGAAAGGCTTATTATCAGCCTTAGAATGTTTAAGTATTAAGACCAATTCCACCTACATTTAAGTACTGACAGAGATATAAAGGGGATAGTCATGGAGTTGGAGATCTTACTAAAAACTTCCTATCAGTTAGGGGACACAAGCTATTACAAGAAACTCCAATTACAAAAAAAATTCAGGGCCACCAAAACGCAAATTGTTGTTTAAGTCTTAGTGAGCTTCTCTCTCTAGGGAAGGTGCTTTTATGAACAATGAACCTAATTTCTCCTCCATGCTGATGATATAAGTAAAATCCAGGATCTTAATGCAAACTGCTTTTTGTTTTCTAAGGTGTCCCAAATGAAAATTGACACCTCAAATAAAAACAAGCAGGAATTGCTTATTGTATTATAAAATGTGTTTTCAAAGATATCAGGTATCTATTTTTTATTTATATGAATTTTATTTTAAAATTTAAGAAGCTGCCTTGCTTTCCTATGATTAAAGATTTATTGCCATAACAATACAAAACAAACAAATGAAAAAACAATAACTCTAGCAAAAACAGCATAAAGACACTGACGTTTAGAAAATATAGTTAACATAGGTTAATTTGAATGCTAGTCATTATGGTGTAGTTCTGCTTGTGACACTGCTGCTAAACAATGAATCCTAAAAGGTTTTCCTGGCCAAGTATCCCTTTACTCCTCCCTTTTTTCAGCAGGATGCCTGATTCAAACCCCAAGCAGCAGGCAGGGTGTTGGAGAGCTGGAATCAGGATTCTTAGAAAGGAAGGAAATAAATATGTATTAAGCCCTTATTACATGCCAGGCACTGTGCTATCCACTCGAAAATTATTATCTCAAAACTTACAACTCTGAGAGGTAAGTGTCATTATTATCCCCGTTTTACAGATGAGAAAATAGAGGCAGACAAAGCTTTAAGGGACTTGCCCAGGGCCACATAGCTAGTAAGCATCTGATGTTGCATTTGAACTCAGGTCTTTGTGACCCCACACCCACTTCCCTATGCACTCCATCTATTAAGCCACTTTAGGTTAGGTTCAAAAGTATGTAACAAGTTAGTAATGGGACTAGTTCATTGTCTGGCAGCAAAGAGTCAGCCCATACACTACCATTTTTATCATTAAGGAGAACTATTTTAGTCTATGGTTTTAAACTTCTTTAAACGTCTTTGCCCTGCCTTCAATTGCAGTCACCTTAGAATGACAAAAATGCTAAAAAATAAAACTATCCTAAGGAAATTATTCTTCTTCACTTATATTTCATTATGAATTGGTAGAGTATAGGGAGACTCAGTCTACAGGCGTTCAACTGTAAATTCTGTAGTTTGGAAATCATAATGCATTTCCTATAGAAGCAGTGTTATAAATAGTGATTCAATTCTCAGGTTGGGTCCTCAAAGTCCATAACAGAGCTAATAGGGCTGAGAATGCTATTATTTATACCTAACCACATTTACAACACTTCTATGGGAAAGCATGGACCAAATTTCACTTCAGAGCATCAGAGACACATCTTTCCTTGCAAACTACACTTTTGGTTGTGGCAAGGTGAAGGCAGGGAACTGAAAGGCTGACAGCATCATATCTTCTTACAGTATCAGCTGGAGGGCAGGGAGACAGGTATCTCTGGAGCAGGGGTTCTGAACCAGCAGTCCACAAAGGGGTCCATGAATAGAGTTCAAGGGGTCTATGAACTTGAACGGGAAAAAAATAGCATATACATTTACTTTCACTAACCTCTAACTGAAACTTAGCATTTTCTTCAATTATTTAAAAACATGGTTCTCAGAAGCAGCTCATGACATAAGGACAGATGCTTTCATGGATGGTGGGGACTTCTTGTGCAACATCTGTTCTATGTAAGGGAATGTTTATGTAACTCAGGTATTCATAAATTAAGCACTGCCTGTATTTCTAAATTAAGAGACAGCTAGGTGGCACAATGAATGGAATGCTGAATCTGGAGTCAGGAAGTCCTGAGTTCAAATCCTGCCTTAGACACTTACTGTGTGGCCCTGGGCAATGTACTTAACCTCTGTCTGCCCCAAATGTAAAATGAGATATTGACACCTACCTCCTAGAGTTGTTGTGAGGTCAAATTAGTTAATATTTTTAAGTACTTAGCATAGTGCCTGACACCTAGTAGGTTCTTTCCTTTCTATTGACAGAGCTAATCTTTGCATGATTTAAGCCCAATTATAAGCATGTAATGATTTCCCTTTTGCAATGTGAGTACCTACAGGCTTACATTTAATTCTTCCTGAGGGTAAAACTTATTTTAGATAATACTGTCAAACAAAATAGTAGTAAAAACTGGTCAAGGAGGCCATTATTTCTGACAGGTCTAATTTACTGGCACTGTTCATAGCTAATTAACACATTAAGGTGCTGAAGCATGAACATATTTACTCAGAAGTTCTCTAAAGCAAAATTTATAGTTAAATCTCCTAGGAGAAATGGCAAACATTCACAGTAACAAAAATAGATGGCATATACTAATAGCAACATGGCTGAGATTGATTCCTATCTAAAGGTCAAATGTCACTTTGAGAGTAATAGAGTTTTGCAAGATAGCCAGAAATCATTAGCTTACTTTAACTAGGAAATGGTTTCAATTAGTCAAAGGACCTTGAATGGTATCAGTAGACATTGCAGAACAAAAAAAAAAAAAACCCAACAATTACAACTTAATTTTCCCAAAACTTGAAGTTTCGAGTCTAGTAAGCACAATTCAACTTACCAGTTAAAATACACATTTGATTTTCACTGTCAATCTCTAAAAATTAAAATATCCTCTTTAAGAGAAACCATCAGTACCACACATACTGGATTTTAGACTCATGGGAAAAGAGATTAGACTGGACCTGGGATTTCACTGACCAAGGAAACTCCTAGATGAGACAAATCCTATCAGTCAAGGTCAGAACCTTGTCTACAACTTATGATTTTAGATATTTACCTAGAACACTGACTTAACTTATATTCACATAGCCAGTATGTGTCCAAAGTGAGATTTGAATCCAGGTCTTTCCAGCACCAAGGCAAGCTGTCTATACACTATATAACAGTATAATAGTGCCTTTACAGAAACAAAGTACACACACACACACACACACACACACACACACACACACACACACACACACACACATTTAATGAGAAGCAGCTTAGTGTAATACATAACTGGTCTCAGAACAGAAATCCTGGGAATATGTCCTGTTTCTGGCACATACTGGCTGTGTGACCCTGGAAACTCTAAATGCTCTAGGCAATCCTTTAAGACTATAAATTGCAGAGAGGGTGTTGACCTGCCATGAGAGAGTGAGTTTCTCACCTGGGAATTCCCCAAACCAATGAAATCACAGGTCTGGTGTCCTTCCATATGATTTTTCTTATACTGGCAAATGCTTAACATTCTTACTGGAAAATCCTTATAAAGGAACAGAGCTAAACTGCTAGAATATTTGTATGAAAAAAAAAATGGAACTGATTTAGGCAATTTGGATCCTTATCACTAGATTTGAGGTGACACAAAGCTTTTTCTAAGCCTTAAACTGCTTTATCTGTAAAACAGGTGAGAGTTATACAATCTTGTTAGTCAAAACTCAAAGGTACATCTCCACATACTATATTGCTAACTGAAGTAAATTAGCATCATCATCCTTATCAGTTACCTTAATTATCCCCTTCAACACTGGGAAAACATACATAAGGCACCTTTCCTTATCAGTTACCTTAATTATCCCCTTCAAGACTGGGAAAACATAAATAAGGGACATAAATAATCTGGCTTTATTTCCATTTCCAGAATTAGTCTTACTTTCCTAAAGCCAAATGCTTGTCTGTTACTGATGCAACTTTTTAAAAGAAACATATTGGGGTAGCTGGGGGCAAAGTGGATAGAGCACTGGTTTTGGAGTCAGAAGGACCTGAGTTCAAATCCGGCCTGAGACACATAACACT